CAGCATATACATTTTGTAGGGAACCTAATTGTAATGATATACATATATCATTAATGATTAATATCTCATGTATATGTTTCTATAATCATATCCTTTTATACTAGTATATACTTCAAAGTTTTCCAAACTATTCAACACATGTAGATTATATGTAAAATATGTACAATATTACTCAATCATTTCATAATTTTTGAAGTACTATAGTTTTATAAAATAAACAATTAAAATTGAATATACATATATATATTTGTATATATAAAAAAAATTTAACAAAATTTCTCTATTTTAGGGTTACATCAACATATACTACACCTACTTTAGGTGTACCTAATGCAGTTACGGCAAGTACATACTCTCAAATGCTTGGTTTAAGTGAACAAGTACAAGCTCTAATGCCATCACCTTCTTCGGTATTGTTGCATCAACAAAGGCATACACCATCCGTACATAACACATCTCATGCAAAATACCCACCACCATTAATACCAGTTAATGGCAGTAATAATAGTTCCAGGTATGACAGCATTTACTTTGCTTCTTGAAACTTATGGCAATAAGAAGTCATACCATAGGGGAAGTAAACTATAGTTTCATCATTATTACATTGAAATACTTGCTTTCAGGGATTCAAGAGGCAGAAAGCCTTTGATCCCAATAGCAGAAACACATATATCAACCTGTCAAGTTCAACCTTATCAAATTCAAAAAGCACTTGTTGAAGATAAAATGGTACCCTGTATTAATTTCAAGCCATATATATATTCTGAATTATTGATGACACTTCCTGATTTCGTCGCTCAGTATTTTCCTGCCTGTGACATCAGTAGCTGTCGGCAAGTCCTTACAGATGTCTTACACATAGACTTGTATCAAGGAAATAGGTAAGAAAATATTATTTTATTACATATGCGTTTACAGAACACAACAAATTTTATAAATACATTTCTTTTTATTAATGTATAAATAATATGCACGATTTTAAATTCAACATAATTTCCTTTGAAGGTTACAAATGAAGATGTTAATGGAAGCAGGAAAGTGTTCATCTTTAAATGAAGAGCTACCATTAATACAAGTAAAAAGTATAATGAAATACATGCCCCAATTGAAATACATGTTTAATAGAGGTGAGATGGTGATGCCTGCACCTGCACATTCCTCTGAGGAACACCCTGTCAAAAAGCGTCAACGCACCAGCTAGGACTGGCTACAGCCTTACTGGCCTACTTATGATTATTACCATTCGGCATTTTAAAAAAGCCGACTACTTTGACTTACGTGTAACAAATCAGCATCATTATATGCACTGAGAACAACGCAAAACAGATAAATCTATATTGACGTCATGTGCCAGAGAGAATGCACACAACTAAAGATTACCTTTCATATACAAGGAATCTGTGACATACTGTGAGCTACTTCTTTCTCCAAAATGTATCTATCGACGAGAGTATGCTTGTAAATAAAACTGAGATGTATAAAACTAGTGTTACACAGTTGGCAGTTTAGATATGCTTTTATATATTAAGATTATTAACACTTTTCTTTAAGGTTTCGTTACAACTGAAGATTGTTGAACGAACTGCAAGTAAAAACTATAAATATCGTGACTATCAAGACCATTCCTCATTTTTTTTATTTCATTTCATCTTTCTACCTCTGCTGCAGAGTATCTTACATATAGTATTTCTTTGTAAATAAAATGAAAGTTCTAATCTTAATGTGATTCGGAGAAAGAAAGTGTTGCTGCGTAATTCATTAATGAACATGCAGTGCTGTAGGTGTGTTGTTTAAGATTTACCTACATCGCACGTTGAACAGATATCAAAAAAATTTGGCATTTGTATATTTAAAGAGATGGAGGTAATGCTTCTTCAAGTTCCTAGCTATTACTAATATGTATTCTGATAACTGCTGAAAAATAATTTAAAAATGTTACTAATTCACAACAATGGTTTAATATAAATTATGACGCGAGTTTAGCAAGACTTATTGGGTAAAATATTCTAAGTTTTCAATGTTGGAAAACTCTATTTTCTAAAATTGACTTATTAAAAACACCGTATACAGTGATGCAAGTAATTATGTTCAGACATTGTCAGTGTGTGTAACTATCTAAGTCAATAAAAAATGCAGTTTAGGATACTGTTAAAAATATGACACATATTAACAGTCAATGAGATATGTACCACCATTGTTTATGTAGGCTTTTATAATTATTTATAAATGAAAACGATAATTTAAGAAGCTATGCAAAAGTTCCAAGTAGTTTTTTGTTATTTTTGTAATAAAATCATATGTTTTTAGTAAATTTCATTTTATTGTGTAGAAAATTCAAGTTTGAGATATCGTTTCTTTCGAATCATAAATTACCTTATTCTTTTTTATTAAATCTTGGATTTCATATTTATTAATTATTTGTTAAGAATGAACATATCTCATGAGTTTGTTAATATCAAATGTTACTGTGACACACTTTTACTTGTATAAAAGAAAGATGTAACAGCTGACAAATATTTTGGAAATAAAAAGACGAAAAAAAATAGTATTGAGTCTGAAAA